TTTCTTATAAATTTATGTAGTATAATCCCTGAATTTTTACATAGCTGAAATTTTAAGGTAATCTTAATGCTCAAACAACTTTTGGGTGAGAATAGAACTCGTGTGTCACAAACTTACTCCTTGGGAACTGGAGACACCCTCCTGAAGGAGAAACCTGAGGCCAACGTGCTATTTACCCTCAGCTAGTTAACTTAGTTTCTGACTTAGTGTTTTCACAATTTCACTCAAGTTTCTGATTGACGAGGTATCTATCAAGCCTATTCACAGGTTATTGACCAAGTCCAAAGTAACTGGAGCAGAAAGGAAAGAAGCAGTTAAAATTGTCATCTACCATGGTGTTTATAGGATTCTTCCTTCAGTATTGATATTCAAGATCAGCAGTATAAAATGCAGAATTTCTGACATACATTTAAGTTTTGTCTTGTATCAGGGTAACCCTTCCAGATTCAAAATTCAAGCATTAATTTGGAAGAAAAGTTTCCATAAAGCATAATATCTGAATAGTACTATTGCTTGATCTGCCTTCTTCTTCAGGCTATATGGTGACTCATAAGGTTGATTTCTGTGTATGGCCTCCAAATCTATTACCTTTTCTCAGGGCAGTTTGCTTCTCTTGTTCTTTTACCACAAAACCTGTCTTAATTTAAGTGGTTTTACTTTCTCTAGCATGGATTATTTATTCTCCTTATGGTTCTAGTACACTTCTAATCCTGCAATGGAATTATCTGTTTTTCTACATTAGTTTCTTAGTTTTACCAGTTATCTTTCACCTTTCCTTTTTTTGTCCTTTTCCTTACTCCCTTTTCTTTCTTTCTTTCCTTCATTCCTTCCTTCCTTCTTTGCTTCCTTCCTTTCTTCTTTCTTTTCTCTCTCTCTCTCTCTTTTGCACTAGAGTTAGAACTCAGAGTTCCACCAATTGAGCTACACCCTACCCCTTTTTGCTTAGTTATTTTTCCAATAGGGTCTTGCAAGACTGTGATACTCTTACTTAAGCCTCACACGTAGCTGGGATGATGGGAACATGCAACCATGCCTAGCTTTATTTGTTGAGAAGAACTTCATTAACTTTTTTCCTCCAGCTGGTCTGCTGTCCTCCAGATCCCCAGCTGGATTACAGGTGTGAACCACTGCACCCAACCTCACGTTTTAATTTCCTTTACTGTGGAATGAAGCTGCCATCTGCAATAAATGTAATTAAATTTCTGGTCATTTAAAAAAAAGATACATTTTATCTCTTCTGTGTCACAAAATCATTTTAAAGGACTTAAGTTTTTGTCTTGATATATTCATGCTTAAAGCATAATTTACCTCAGTTTACTTTGCTAAATGGAAGGAGGAAGGACACATCAATGATCCTTTTAACTCCTTCCATCAATTGCTAGAGAATCTGCCACACAGATTCTGAGTGGAAGAGTTGGAGTTGTGTATCATCATTTTGATGATATACTATCTTAAAGGGGACGTGTGAAGAGGTGAGACCATGGGCATCACCAGGAAGATCAGGTTATTTCTGTAGCTTCATTCCTGTGTTTGTGGACTCACCAGGAAGACCAGTTCTGTGCAGCCTGTCTTCCACCACAGGACAGTATGGTCCTTGAAAGCAATTGTTTCCTTTGTTTGCTTGGGTTTCTGTTGTTGTCATTTGTTTTCATTTATTTATTTTTTTGAGTGGAGGTAGCTGCCCATCCAGTTTTGGGGTACTCACTCAGTTTAGAAAAGGATTCCTTCACCAGACATGAGCCTATATTAGTGAGATGTGTGATCAAAAGAAAACTTATTTGGAGGCACTGGGAAGGGGCGCAGGATACACTTGCCCATTGCTAAATCTATTCAAAGTGGTATTGGTTCAATGTGCTGAAATGTGTCTAAACAATGTAAACTCCTCAGTCTTTTAGATGGTCCTCACACTGAAATTCTGGATTAGTGGGATTCTAGAGGATTTTAGCCACTCCTGCATCATCGATGGCACATCCTTAATACCAAAGAAAAATTTTAATTGCCTTTTGGGGAAATTTTCTCCAGTTGAGCTTATTTTTACTGTATGTAATAGAAATTCCTAAAGTTTTACTAATTCTCACTCTTGTGACACAGCCAATTAAATATCAATTCCTGGAGTCTTCTCTCTCATTTCCTGCATGGAACAGAAAAGGTCCCTTTTCCCCATTTCTCCCTACTTTATTCTGTTAGACTAAATTCTTTTCCTAATAAACTTTATTATTATGTTTACTGCAAAAAAAAGTATCAATGCTGCCTTTACTCTAATTAATACAGGAGCCTAAGGATAATGAAACTGGAAATGCCTACTTTTCCTCTTCCTAGAAGGAGAGCCACACCTTTGCTTCCTGGATTCCCAAGGGAAATTAATAATGTCTTTAGGTTTCTGGAAACATCCTGGAGCCAGCCACCCACACTGCAGATTCTGTTGGGATGCAGGAGCCTTTGAAGGACAAAGCAGAAAAAATGAGTTTGGGAAAAGGAACAGTGTGATCTAGGAAAGAAAAATGGTTCCCTGGGTCCTTGGCTGGGTGGGAACTTTGTGGATCCTGTGAATGAGTGACCCCTACACAGCTCAATGCAGGGCTGACAAGGGATGCTAGGAGTACTGGACCCTGGGTGTGAAGGTATAGGAGCTACAAATAGAACTTCCACGTTTACGTTGGCAGAGAACAACCAACCATTTTCAAAATGATCGTGTGAGCCACTAGGAAGGAGCACAGGGATTTAAATCACCTTGGAGGAATTTTTTTTCAAGGGATTTTGGTCAATCAAAACATATCAGTAACCTAATGAGGGAGCATAACCAGGAGTTCTTCAGAAGACAGCTTAAAAATCTGAATATTTAAAACTGTAATGATCTTTTCTCATAAAATTATTCATGAATACTGTATTATTTAATGAGACAAAGATAGAAATAGAAGAGAAAGATAGAGAAAATATCTATTTATCTATCTATCTATCTACCTACCTACCTATCTATCTATCTAATCTATAGAGAGAAGGGGAGGACCAGGATTTTAGATAATCAGTTTTCTTCTTAGGTTTAAGCATTGCTGTTCTCTTCTTCCCACCCCCTCCATCTCTCTCTCTCTCTCTTTCTCTCTCTCTCTCTCTCTCTGTCTCTCTCTTTCTCTGTGTGTGTGTGTGTGTGTGTGTCCATATGCTCCTTTCTGTCCTACTAAAGGCAAGTATCCTTTGTGTGTATGTGTTGGGGGGTTGTTTTGTTTGTTTGTTTTGTTTTGTTTTTGGTTATATCAGACACTAAACTCTGGAACATGGCTTGCCCGGCAGGTGGTCTAACACCCAAGCCACACCTCCAGCCCTTTTTGTTGAGTTTACTTTTCAGATAGGGTCTTCCATATTTTTCTCAGGCTGACCTTGGACAGTAATCCTCTTATCTCTGCCTCCTTTGTAGCTGGAATTACAGGTATACACCACTATATCTGACTTGTTTTTGAAATAGTCTTGCCAACATTTTTGCATAGGGTGGCTTGAAGCTGCAGTGTTCCCATCTTTGCCTCTGTGCATTCTTGTGTGGTAATTCTGAATAAGTGGCTTCATTAGATACATACACGTATTTTATATGCATAACACTTCTTTTAAAACTTTATAATACATATTGGAAAACTTTCTGCACCTCGATTCACTCACTCCATTTTAACTGCTGAGCAATAAGTAGCAATTATTGAGTCTCACAGGTTCCAGACACTGTTCTCAGTGCTTTACCATTAGCTCACTCAACTCTCCACTCAATCCTAGCCAAAAGGCCTAGAAATGACAGCTTATTGAACTCCCATAATGGCCAATTTGTGAAAAAGAAAACTGAGTCATTGAGTATTTTAATGAGTGTCCTAAGGTTGAAATTGTCCAAAACACCCAGCCAGTCTGACACCAGGTCCTACAAGCACATGCACCACACCATACCACACTGGATCCCATTGCAGGAATGGGCCACCACTGAGTCAGTATTTCACTGATGACCCACACTTAGGCTTTTCACGATTCGAAAAGTTGTAACGAAGTCATTGGTAACTTGACTATTGAGTGGACAGTGGGGTGTGATGGGCTACTTTCCACAAACGCTTAATTCTTTTCATAAAACCAAACACAATTAATGTTCAGATTTACTTAACTTTCAGAAACCATATGAAAAACTCCCCATAATTAAGGAATAAATCACTTACATTAAAATAAAGCACGCTTACATGCTATAATTACTCAGTGCTTATAGTTTATCAGGAGCTTATGTAAGTGTCTAATTTCTAGAAGAAACCCAAACAAGTAACAATAAGAGAATGATAGTGTGGCCTAATAACACTAAAATTATTGGCCATGCCTGCAGACCAAATTTAAACGAAGGCTCCCTTTCCTTCCTCAGAGGGTCAGCTTTGAGAAACTATTGTCATTCTGTAACTATCAAAATTAAAATCAAATTACTCAAGAGAATAATGCAAGCACTTGCCACATGAGCTGTAGTGAAAAGCAACATGCTTACTTCAAAGATTCCTTATCACAAAAAGAGGAGATGTACACTGAAATTCAGCAAATATTCAGCCTTGACCGAGTGCCAAGAATTGTATAATCAATTGTATAATTGATGCACTTTCACATAGACATGGGGCAAGGAAAGATGGAATACATTTTATGAAAAATGCACATCTTCTCAAGTAATAGTATCTTCTTAAATTTCCTGTGAGAGACTAGTGTGCAATGTGCTTTACGTGGAAGCTGCAGCAAAGCACTGAACAGATTCCATGTACAGGTTCTCAGCTTTTAGCACAAGGGATACAGACAGGTTTTTTTAAATGTGGTATTCATTTTTCTAAGATGATCTTTTCAGTGACTGAATTCTTGCTAATAGCACATTAGATTCTGAGGTTAAGTAAACCAACTAGAACTGTGCAGGCACCCTCCAGATACACCTGCAAGAATAATTACTGATTTGTTCTTGCTGACAATCAGATTTTAGGATGGAAGTCACGAATCACCTGTATAGATGTTACCTTTTCCAGTGGACTTTCTACCCGAGGCACGTTGATGGCTGGCATCCGAACCAGGTTTTCCATGTGTACGTGCTCATTTTCAGGCTGTCTGCCTTTAAAATTATTTACCACACACACAACCTAAAATTTCAGAAAACAATGACAGTTCAGTAAGACATATATCCTATAACTATCATCCTTGTGAGTAGTTTATTGAATCTAAACACAGTAATAAAAGTGTTAAAAATACTTAAATGGTGTACATGTGGGATACTTTGCATCCAGATTTACTTTGCATAAATTTTAATAACTATAATTTTAATAACTATTCCAACACAGCTAGGTTTAAGAAAATTCACTAATAACATGTGACTTGATTAATAATGACAATTTTATTATTCCAAAATTTTCATTAAATGTTCAGATCAATCCAAAAATAACACCATAACCTTATAAAAATTCATAGCAAGCTAACCTTTCCTTAATATGGCTAACCTACAACTTAATTTAAATGCCAGTTACTTCTCATTGCATCAAGATTATTACATCCGTAATAAACCTTCTACTATTGGCACTAATTTAGCAACATTTCTTTAATTAACCTAGCTTATTGTCTATTATTGCATCCCATATATACTTGGCATTTCAACAGTATCTTACCAGGGCAGCTGCTGAAATAGAAAACCCTTTCAATAAAGGGTTTCAACTGATTACATCCCAGAGGTGAAAGAATCTATACTAAACCAGAGGTTCTCGTACTCTTTCCTGTGCATAAAAATGAAGTTCTGGTATTGTTAAAACTTCATATTTCTAAACCCTCTTCTAAAGTTTCAGATTTAGTAGGTGATGGATGGGGCCCAAAAGTTGACACTTACAAATGCACTGTAGAAATTTCTGGTGCAGGTCGGTCATATTTAAGAAATAATGAACTAAACAATGCAAAAAAATTATTTGCTACTGTTAACAAGTGAGTAAGGTATTGATTTTTCTTTTCTTAGTTTTTTTTTTCTTACTATAAATCAAGATACAAACCTTAATTGCAATTTCAACTTAATAACTTTTAAAAAAAGTAAATACTTAGTCAATAATAATATATCTACACTGCATGTTTTTACAAATACTCCATTGGACAGGTTTTTTTTCTTTTGTAGGACTTAATACCGAATTTTTCAAAGACAGTTAAATCTTGGTTACCCTCTAGTTTTTAAATAAAATTTACAAATCTAGAAAATAAGAATATACTATGAGATTTTATAACAAAAAGTTATTTCCCTGCAAGCTATTATTTATTTCTTCCACATCCTAGAATTCTGGGTTAGAAACATAGATCAAATCCTGTTATTTGATGGATTCAGCTTTAGTGATGCCAGCAAGGTCTTTAAGGTAAGGGTTGGCAGGAAGGGCTTGGGAATGGGGACCTGGTAAACCTACTGTCAAAGGACATCACAAGTTTCATGATAGACAGAAATCTATACAAATAGATACTGATTGCTCGAGAGGTGAGGTCAGGAAGTTTCGTCTGGAAAGGGAAGAGTGTAAATACTTTTGACTTTGTCAAATTACAGACTCTGTGATAACTGCTCAACCTCTGTCCTTTCCATGGAAAAGCAGACATTAAGTCAGTTCATAAATAAATAGTTTATTAATGTGCCAATAAACTTTCTTCTGCAAAAGTAGGCAGTGGGTCAAAGTTGATCTGTCGGTTGTAGTTTTCTGATTGACCACTCTTTTAGAATACAAAGGATAAAATCAGTAATTTTAGCTCATAACGACAATAAAACAAATCAGCAGTTTCACATCCATCCTACACACCACACACATACATTCAAACACATTTTCTTTTTCATTAGTGTTATAAATTATTGGGAAATTTAGCACATAAAATTGCTGACAAATCTGAAGTAAAACTTTGTGAGATGCACAGACATCTGGAATTCTTGAGATGAAGTTTATCTAATGGTAACATGGGCTTCTGAAATTAACACAAGTTTTTTTCTTTTTCTTTGTTCTGTGTTTAGAAGTTGTGGCTTTGAGCATTATTCATTATTTTTAATTATTTAGGATTGTAAAAGGATCTATTGGCTATCTCTTTGCCTTAGTGAAACATGAGGTTAATACCACTGAAGCAGCAGAGAACTCCTATTTGAAATACTTAAGCACCTAACACACAGTAGATGCTTACTAAATATGAACTATTAACTTATTGATTCTTTTTTATTATTGTTATTAAGAAGGAAATTACTAAATTTTCTTTAGAGAATATGCAAGTATTTAATGTTTTGTCTGCTAACAAGAACTGATTTACTGCTAGTGAAAATAATAATAAAAAGCAAAAGGTGTAGGTTTTGATTCTTCATCTGTATGTTCTGGATGATTCTCTGGGTCTCAGTTTTCTCACTTAGAAAGTGAAGATATTGTAACAGATCACTAAGTTACCTCCATTTCTTTGGTTGACAAAGGTATGACATATTTAATAAATGTTCACCACTGAATTAAAGCTTTACCCATCTCCTGACCCCACTCCTGGATCCTCTTAGAGAGATCCTCCACCCCCATCCCAGTGCAGTTGCACATGACATAAAAGTTGGGTTCGTCTTTTATACCCTCTGTACTCAACCACTCGCTGAATCTGCTCAGCTTTCCTTCCTAAAAACTTGATTTCTTTTATCTGCTTTACTCTATCTATACCAACTTCAAGAACCAACCATCCACCACCTATTGGCTGGATTCACGGCACACCTTTCTAAACCGTCCTACTAAGTGCAGTCTTGTTCCTCTTCAATCCATTTCCTGTAATGACATGAGGGTGAATGTTCCAAACACAAGCTGGATATGTCATTCCCTAAAACCATTTTGTGAACTGGATTCCCATTTTTCTTCAAGTGTTAACTCTAACCCACATTTGTAACCTTCTTTCTCTCACTTTCCCAAACACCTTTTCCTTTTCCCTTCTCATGTTCTTTTACTTGGAATACTTCTCATCTCTACCATCTTGGATGCCACATCTAACCGGTCATCCTGTGCAACCTCAGCGTTGACTTCCCACAGAAGACTTCTCTGAGCCCCTGGCTAGAGAAGGACAACGTGCTGTTTTGTGCACACGGAACTATAATTCTTTTTATCAGCACACCTGTCACAGCAGGAAACTTTACATCAGTCATAGCAAGTCTTTGATTGCTGTGTTTCTCTTCCAAGACTGTCTGCTTCACAAACCAAGGATGTTACCTGTTTTTCTTTTTCTCATCCTTGTATTCCTACCGCCACAATGACTGGAATGGACACACATTCAGACCAGGCATCCTCAAACTTTCTGATGTGCGTATATTACTTAAAATCAATTACCTTCCAAACAGTAATTGATTACAAATTATATTTTATAAATTTATATCAATTATATTTTATATAAATAATTATAAACTATAGTTTGCATAAGCTTATATAAATTCTATAAATTATAGTTCAATATAAATAAATAATTATATACATTATATTTCTATAGATGTGGCTTCTGTGTGCATAATTCTACACTCTCTTACAAAAATGTCACTAATAAATCACTGCTACACATATAGTTCTTTATCCAGTCGTGATGGGAAATGAATCTGCTTCATCTGTGATCGCTTTTCCTCTTCTGTTATAGCAACGAAATATCATCACTGCAAGGCATTAAGTTCATGGGCCTTGGATCATCTCAATTCTGGGCTCTTTCACACACTATCTTTGTGATCAAAGTTCATGGGAAATCTATTTAATAGAACTAGGCCTCTGATTTCTTTGAAGACAATATACTCAATGAGCTATCGTGAGGATCAGTGGAACTAATTTAGTAAGAATCACATGAGAGATTACTGTTGTTTAAGGTAACATGACAAAGTATTGCTGTGGCTCAATGAATTTGAACTTATCCTAACTGACCCTGTAATACCTTGCTTTGGAAGTATGTTGAATTACACAGTTTTTATAAAATAATTTTGATTGATCACCAATAATTATTGGATTAGTATTTGCTTTGTGTGTCTATCCATGAGCCAAATGCATACGGGATGAGTGATACATTTAAAAGCAATATAATTCCTGGCAAGATGGAACCAGGACAAACCGAGAACATAGTAGAAATTAAAGGAATCAGGTCCTCAGCACACTGCATAGGAAAATTGGAATTGACTGAGCCAAAGCTCAGCTGTGCAAAGGACTGAATAGCTATCAAAGGGGAGGACCATGATGCCCAGTGCTTTCTCTGTCCGGGCACCGGGCTGCCCTGGCCACATACGGGACTCGTTTAACCGTTAAAGGAACTGTGAGAAGCAAATCAAACAATTCGTCATTCATTCATTCATCAAACATTTACTCAGCACCTCCTATATGCCGTCCCTGTTCTAGGAACTGCAGATGCACAGTGAGTAAAACAAACAAAAGATTTCTTTTCGTCAAGGAGCCTGGTCTCTAATGGGATTGGAAACAAAATGAAAACAAAAATGTTAGATGTGATATAAAAAGATCTGAATTGTGTTTTGGAGAAAAGTAAAAAAGGGAATAAGAGAAATCCTGGGGAAGGGAGTAGTCATTTTGCTCATAGTTCAGAGAATGCCTCATTATTTTAGGAGTAACATGGGTTAAGTGACTTGTTCAAAATTATAGGACCAGCAAGTGACAAAGGCAAACCCCAAATGTAAGTTTTTCTCACCCACATCTCTCTGCTCTGCTCTCTGATACATGCAGAAGAAAGGACATTCCTGCTGTAGCAAATGTGTAGGATGGACACAGCTTGTTTATGATGGGGAATGAAGCTGATTGTACTCAAAGTGCAGGATTTATGCACAGTGAAAGGGGAAAATATACTTCACTAGGAAAGGTGCAGCCAGATAACTGAGAACCCCAGACATGCAATGGACGTGTCCGGATTTGATGCAGTAGAAATGAGGTTTTGCTTTTTGTTTTGTTTTGCCATTAGCAGTGACTTGTTAAAATGTACATAGAACCAGAATTGGGGGCGGAGGGGGTGTTTAGAAGAAAGTCTGAAGCAAAGGGGCAGCTGTGAACCTATAGAGATAACGGAGATGAGAAGCAATAATCTTCAGATTGAGAGGTTCTAGCCAGAAAAGCAGATATGGGAAAAATATTTTTGTAAATGGAAATGAACTTGAAGTAGATGAATCCCTGGTTGTGGGGGATGAACCAGGAGGATGAGTCAAAGGCAAATGCTAGCAAAAGTCTGGGTGATGGGAGGAGATGTTCTTTAACCAAGACATAAGAGGCCTGGAGTAGGTTAATGTTAATTTTATCTTGGAGTCATTTTACAATCCTGTATGTGTTGTAAGATAATTGGAAACACACCAGGAGATTGCAAGGCAAGGGTGGAGTCACTGCTCAAAACAAAAGCACTGCTGAGTTGCCCAAATGAGACACCTGGGAGTCATCATCATAGATTGCTCCCTCTGCCTCATCTGCCTCACCTCCACTGTTCCTCAGCCCACCTTCCCACCTCCTCCTGGAGCCCCTCTCCTCACTCCCTGCTGCTCAGGACTAATTTCACCATTTTATTTCCTTGGTTCTGCTTAACCTAGGGTTTTATTTTCCAGCAAACATTTCTTCCAAGTACAAATCTTACAGGGTTGAAGGAATGAGAAAAACAATCACTTATGGCACCTATTTCAGTCATTCACAAAGCAACTCAGGGAACACGCACTCCTTCACTTAGCCTTTGTGAACCCAAGAGGGAGGCTGTGATTAGACTCACTGATGAGGGAGATACCGAGCTTCAAAAAAGCTAAGTGGATGACTCCATGGTCCAAGCTAAATACCTGAAGGAACGAGGAGTCCACTGGGCTGGGGTTTTGTTTGTTTTGTGTCAACTCAGTTGAAGTCTGACAATGCTCTTAAATGACCTCCATTTTAAACAAAAGTCCAGATGTTCTCATGACATGCAAAACCATTTGGAATATCCCCTGTCATTTTCCACCCCCACCTCACCTGTCACTTGTGCTGGAGAACTGGTGCCTTCCAGAACGCCATGCTCTCTCCTGCACAAGCTGGGCCCTGGCCTAGAATACAACTGGAGCTCCACGTAAGCTGATTTTATGAAGTGTTTCTTATGGCCTGGTGCCTCCCTTTGTCCCTTACTCCCTACGCCAAGCCTAGACTTTTCAAGTTGATGAATCATCTCCCCTTTCTGATCTGTGCCTACTTGCAGCAGGGTTTATCTCTTCGGTAATGGTACTTCTGTCTGCTCTTCCCACCTGAGGATGATCGGTTAAGTACATGCATTATATCTTTGTCAGGTATTTATTCCTTGTACCAAGCACTGTGCGTGGATTAGAGCAGGGACTCAGTAAATGTTTGTTCATGATGGAAGAGAGTGGGGAGACATTTAAGGGAGTGACCTGATTATTACTATCTGAATCCCAAATCAGACTTTAACTCTCACTAGGGATCCATGTCCAGCTATCATTCACCACAAGGTTCTGAGAGTGGGAAGTGCCTAGGGTTCAGGTTTGGGGTTTTCAAAGTGTGAGTTGCTCCCTAGAAGTAAGGGATGATGACAACAGCCACCTAAGACCATCCACAGGAAGTGTGATGAGATGCCTGGGAAGTTGTAAGGGACCCAGGAGTTAAATCTCATGCTTGTGTTCTGACATTTTTATTACTGCTGTGCTCTTTGTCTAGTATTGACTATTTCCATAGGATTTATGCACGGGTCTTTGTTTGGGGATGAGGAGGGTGTTACGACCCAAAGGCTTCTTGCTTGCTAAGCAAGCACTCTACCACTTGAGCAACACTCCCCAAGCCCTTTTTCATTTTAGTTATTTTTTGGAAAGGGTCTCACATTTTTACCCGGTGCTGGCCTCAGACTATGATCCTCCTATCTATGCTTCTGCATAGCTGGGATTATAGATGTGAACCACAAGATTTGTTGGTGGAGGCATGGGGAGAGGTCTCATTAACTTTTGCCCAAGACACACTGTAACCTCAATCTTCCTGACCCCCTTCCAAGAGTTGAGATTATAGGTATGAGCCACCATAATCTTGTTTCTTTTTTAAAAAATGTTAACCAGTTTCAACTATGGTGAGTGAAAACAAGGCAAGATTTTTGTTCCAAACTGGGGCTCCAGGTTTCACCCGAGGCTGCAAATTATTCTAAGACAGACAGGTCTTAAATTGGTAAGGTTTTAAATTGGGAGTGTTAAATTGGTAGGTCTGGCCCACGTCTGTTTCCGTATTTGACTTAAAATGCCTGCAAAAATTGATGAATAAACAAACTATATCTCAATCTAGAAGTCTTCCTTTGTAACCAAGAAACTGAGTCTTAGCCAGTTATAGCTGAGGAACCTCCAGCCAATCAGAGGCTCAAAGCTGCCACACATAACCACATAAGGCAAATACTAACTACAGCCAATCAGGTTGCTCCTTTAAATCACTTCCTTTTCTCTGGCTATAACTGGAACTCACACATGTGAAGAGTGGGCATTCCGGACCAAGTTGGCCCAGTTCTAGAGCCTGTTTCTTTTTTTTTCTCAAATAAACTTTATTAAATTTAAATAATCTCTGACTTAAAAAAAAAACAACAAAGCACAGCAACCAGACATAAATTTCCCAATGACCTTGGAAAACAGAACAAGTGACATTATTCAAACATGAAGCATAGGATGTAGACTAGAGATGAGGTCAGGGTCACCACTTTGCCACAAGAGACTCTAGAGGAAACAACCCATTTCAAACACCAGGTACATCAACTGTGTTCAAGCATTTGTTAACTGGAAAAGTACACAGGCATTTTTGCTCTGTAATGATTGACTAGTAAAAAGAGGGAGAGGAAGGAAAAGTTAAAGAACAATTCAAGTGTAATCAAATGAAAAGTATTTCTTAAATTATAATGTGTCTGTGCAAAAATGTTTTGATATGTATCATACACATTTTATCATCTAGTAGAAAATGCCAGTGCTTACAATGATCTGATACTCTCAAGTTGGGCTAAAATACATTTCCAACAACCAGAACCTATAGAAATATTCCAAGGACATTTTATAATATGAGTAAATGTGGTATTCTTACTTCATTACAAGCCACTGTATATGCTTTTCATATATGATTTGAAATGGTACTGTCTTGGAGGCAGACTGTGAAATTTTCATTCTTAAAGTGAAATGGCTCGTCTCATAAATAAACATTGTCGTAGTGGATGTGACACAGGGGCTCACAGGCAGCACAGGGGTGAGGCACAAAGGGGTCCTGGGATGTTCTAGATACTTCAGAAAAGCCTAAAAATATCCAATCAACCCAGTCTTAGAAATTGTCCAGGGGCCAGGTGCTGGTGGCTCACATCTGTAATTCTACTTGTAACCTCAGCTACTTGGAAGGGTGAGATGAGGAGGTGTGCAGTTCCAGGCTAACCTGGGCAAAAACTCTGAGAGACCCCCATCTTAACAATGGCTGGATGTGGTGGTATGCACCTGCCATTCCAGCTATGGAAAGAAGCCTAAAATAAGAGGATTGTGGTCCTTGTCAGCCTCAGCAAAAGCAAGACACTGGCTTCATCATGGCCACAGCAAAAATTGCTGGGACTCAGCTTAAGCAGTAGTGTTTGCCTAACAAGCGAAGGCCTGAGTTCAAACCCCAGAACCACCAAAGAACAAAAGAAAACAAAACAAAAACCATCCAGAGAAGACTGTTTTAAGCCCTCTTCCATTTTTACCTGAAGTATTTCATTCACCTTTAAGTGAGGAATTTATCTTTTCATCCCTAAACCAGATTCAGGCAGAATAAATAGTCATTTGTATATCACAATTAGACAAATAGACAAACTCAGTGACTCACCCTTGCACTTTCACCCTTAAACTTTTTTTTACAGGTGGTTATACAAGTTCATTAAAGGACCCAAAATCATGTAAGTAAGTTTGTACTTACCAGAAATACTGCTATAGATATTCCAACCAGAAAGCCTGCTATGACATCTGACCAATGATTCCGATATTCTGCTACTCTGTTGAGTCCAGTAAGAAAGGCCAAACACATTAATCCCAAGCACAGAACTGGCTTAGCAAGTCTAGTTCCTTTGGCTTTGATTGTGTTGGTAATGTACATCTGAAATAATAAACAAAAGCATGGCTTTTCATGAAGGTATATCATTTATGTACACAGATTCTGTATATGTGCACAAATGTTTGTACAGAGTTACATATACTTACCTAGTTCAAATTATTAACTACAGTTCACGGATTCCCTGATAAAGGTTTCTCAGAAGCAGTATTTAAGATTGGCAGTTATTTAATTTCGCTTGCCCAATGTGGCCATTTCTTATTAATAACCAATTCTCATGTAACATTGCTAGTCATTTAGGAACAATGAATACAGACATTCCAACTGGTTTTTTTTTTCACTTTTAATGTACCTTTCCTTCTTTCATCTGAGTGTATTTATTAAGTTAATCTCAATGATATTATGAGAAGGAGAAAATTGATACTTTTGCAATGTTTTGATGTTTAAATGCCACACTGACAGGATGCATACTTGATCAAACCAGAAATGTGAATATAGCTATAAAAAATAAGATGGAGCTTCCCACTAAATAAATGTTACTTTGAAGAAGGAATTTAAGATTCAACGCAGTGCCAAGGTTTGCTTTTATGTTTTTATCTGAAATTATAAAATTTTTAAAATTTACCAGCCAGAATTAGCACAAAAAGGCTTAATTACAATGATGGAAATGAGTCAACTAAAAACAAAACAGTGAATGGACTCCCACACTTTTGGCAATTTCATATATGTTAATGAAGAGCATATAGCACCAAGTGAATGAAATATATCCAAGCTGTAAACCACCATGTTCAAGAATAATTTGGTCCTTTTCCCAATCTAATTTACTCTGTAGCTCACTTGCTCATAATTTAAGTCATGTAAGCAAATCTGTTGACTGCAAGTAAATGTGTCAATTATTATTGAAGTTAATAGTAAAGTAATTATAAAAGAGATGGCTTCAGCAGTACAATTAGATTTTGTGGTGTTAATGTAAGTACCTGGTGCTGATCATATACTCAGAAAAATTCTTAGAAATGTATATAACCACTTCACTACTGTCCTGAGTCGAATTAAAAAAAAGTACATTTGCCAAAGAGAGGAAACCCAAATCAGTGTTTAAACTTTTAGTTCACAGTAACCATCTTAGGATGCTATGAAATTCAGTAATTATCCTTCATATTTTTTCAGGTCAAAATTTGTAGCCCTGTTGGTTATCAGAAGAAGCTGTATTAATATTTAAACAGTACAAATGATACAAACCCTTTCCTGAGCCGTGTACTACTTCATTGCAGTATACCCCAGGTCCCAAGACTATTCCAGAAGAAAAAACACCAAACAGTCTCCATCTTGGCTTGTGACCTTCAGAGCTAGACCTGTGTCTCCTAAGCCAGTGCTCAGAAGGGCTTAATAATTCCAGTTACAGGGATCCACACACATGAGAAGGGAAGAGATGAGGAAGAGGTAAAGATGCTCTTGCCATTCTGAAAGAATGTGTTAACGGACTCTGTCCACACGAATAAACAACACAGCAGGGATCTCAGGCCACTTCCCAATACCCTGATCCTTTACCATGCATTTCTGTCAAAATTCTTTCCTTATTAAGACAAAATGAGTATGGGCTAACTGAGTAATAGGAACATTGCTAATATTAATTATAACTGTCCTTTTATAAATGACTGCTGTTCAGGGCACTATTCTAAGCATTTGACATTATCTTATGAAATCCCGAAAACAACCTTCTAAGTCAGTTATCATTATTAACTTCACTCTACAGTTAAAAAAAAAACTGAATCAAGATATAGCTTATTATGAAGACTACATTTTGGATTTTGAGGTGGCACTGTTGAGAAAGAAGAAGGGGAAACAAGAACTATGGGGACAGCACTTTAAGTCCCTCTTACTCTTTCCTTCTTTTTCTTCCCTGACTTCTTTTGGGGAAGAAATGGCTTATGGTCATAAACTGAGCATCAGAAAAGGCCAGAAGTTGGAATTAAAAATAGGAGCATGAGGTCACATCTATGCTCTGTCATTAGGGGAAATGGAAAGTAAGGTCAGTGTGCCCATGTACAGAATCTATATGGCTCTGGAAAACATTTGCCTTCCCCAACAGCCATTGCAGACCCAGCCCAGCCCTTTACTTGTTCAAGTGATGAAGGCCCATGGAAAGCTGTAGGCTTGGACCACAGCTCTCTGAAGTTTCTCTTGAGTGTTGAATCATTTCCTAAATTACCCTAATGACTTGTGTGTAACCTAGAGATGGTCTGGGCACTCTGGTAACTAATGAAAACGTTGCCTATATTAGAAATAGCCTGGGACTGGCTTTTCTTCCACCAGATGCCCATTCATGTTCAGACCCAGAGTGGACAGGGGGAGGTGACAGAATGTCCATTTTTATGAGAATTTCAGAAGTTAGTAGAATATCAAGACTTATAGGTATAACTTCAAGGTTGATCATATTTTTGGAGCATAGTCTGCATGAATGTAACAAAAGAAAAATTAGAGAATATTCAGTTGTACTTGGCAACTTTATGATTATGAGTGCCTTTTAACCAGTCTAAATGTGTTTTCTTTACAGAAAGTCATTTGCAGCAGAAGAGATTATGGCATAATAATCTATTAAGCAAGCAGGATACGGGACACGAGTTGATTATTTATGCTTTCAGGGTATGTAATTCACTTAGGAAACCATCTAGGTCAACCAGATGCCAAAATGTAGCTAAAATAAACACAAACAGAAGGATGCTGTGAGTTGAGCAGGGAGGAGTTCACTCAGTCCTCAAGGCTCTGTTGGATGCTCACTACCTCACAGGCCAACCCACTTAGCCATATTAGCAGAACTTATTCTCCCATTCCACAAATACCTATTAGCACTACGAAGCAGATAACCAGAGTGGATCATTCGCTCTGTTAATAGCTGGGTGTACTTTCCTCCACACTTTCTCTTTGCTTATCCAAAGATATGCTATAATTAACACAAATATACAGAGGCTTTGCTTACTTATTTGCTTTTACGGAAGTAGAGTTCTAATGACAATATTATTCTGTAATGTGAATTAGCTCACTTGTCATAATAAACATCATCTTTGGGGTAAGCTGAGGAAATATACTGTTTATAAAACAGTACCATTTAAAGAAAGAAATTTCAAAAAAATCCACACAAATATTTGTTAAACACCTAGTGATCTAGTACACACCAGAGGTTGTGTTAAATTTTTCAAGGAGGAAATCCCAGGTTTGAAGGATAAGCATTGCCATCCCAGGCAAAGGGAAAGAGAGAGTGGGGGGGGTGTCCTAGACACAGGGACAGCATAGGTAATCCTGCTATGTGTGCTCAAAGAACCTTTTTGTCCTTTCTCAGAACACTCAAGCTGTGTGCACAGTTATTATTTATTTTGTTTGCTTCCTTCCCTCCAGTGAGAACATAGAAGCCAAGTCTGGATACTTCACTATGAGCCCTGTGCTTGTCATTTTGCCTGACTCACAGTAAGATTCAATAAAGATGAGACTTACTAAAGAAAAAAATAATAAAGGGATATGCAAAGATGGAGAGACCACAAAGCATTTGTCACTCTCTAAAATAATGCTCTTCATTGCACATCTGTTTATCTTCCCTTCACTAGAAGATCTCATTAGAATGGCACCGGTACTCCTTCATTGCTCTGAAAATCACAGTAACATTCAAAAAATAAATGAATGAAGCATGAATGACATGGTTGGGTAAAAATGAACTTTTGAATTCATTGTCTGAAAGTACTTTTCATGATTTGAAGTTATCTTGTGTATGTATTTGTTTACTTGCTTATTGTCTTTCTCTTCCTTGTCTGTCTTACATTGCATGCTACAGGGTAGGCCCTCGTGACAGGAAATATCAGCCCTTGAAAGATGTCCTCGTACTAATCCCAAGAACCTATCCTAGGTTCCTGTTATTTCCTGTGATATGTTACTCTTGGTCATAGTCAAAGAGAGAGATTTGGAGATGATCTTCTCTCTACCTTTGAATGGTGGAAGGAACACAAGTTGCCTCTAGAAGCTGGAAAATGCATGAAATGAACTCTCCCTTAGAGTGTCCTGATATTTGCAGCCTGATGACAACTGATGTTAGTCCAGTGAGACCCAAGCTGGATTTAAGATGTACAGAACTCTATGATAATATATCATGCTGTTTTAAATCACCAAGTTCAAGGTAATTGCCCATGGTGTCAGTAGAAAACTACAACCCTCAATCAATATCTGCTTACTGGGTGAATGAATTAATGGGCTGGAATTTGTAAAAGTCTTCTGAACATTCACATTGGAGCTAGAAAGATCTGGGTTTGAGTTCCAGCTCTGCCACTTACATAGGAGACATTTTTCAACCCCAACCTGTCTAAGCCTATCTACATATCAAATACAAATGATAATTAAAATAATACCACATAGTACTGTAGGGATTAAATACTACAGCACAGGCAAAGTACTTACCATGGAGTTGGCCTACAGTAAATTTTCAAAAACTGCAGAGTTAAATCAGAGTCAGACCAGGAAATATCATAGGACCAGGACTTAATTCTGGGGCAGAGCCTGGAATGGAGCTTATTAAATTTAAGCTCTCCTGTGGCTGAGTCTTTGCAGAACTCTACTCCTCTTGTTCTTTACTTCTTCATTATGCTATTTTGCCATCCTCCATATTAGATCATCTGCTTGAAGACTTCCACTAATTTTTATTTGCAAGTGACTTTCACATACTCTCTTATTATTTAGCTCTTTCTACCTACAAACTAAATAGCTTCAATTTCTTCCACTGATGCAGAATAACTCAGTGGGTAGAACCCTCAGCAACCTAGAGAGTCTAGTATTTTTGACATAGGTCACTCCTCCAAAAATTATGCCCATCCATACACATATCCTATAATCAGCCCAGAGAACAGTTGTAACTTTTCTAGACTGTACCCTATTGTCATAATTCATTGATCCATGTCTCATAGTCATTTTGGGATTGGATTATCTTTAACTGGTTTGTAGATTTTGACAACCTTAATTAATAGAGCCTGATAGAGCACTAACTTTATTTTGATTTGTCTTGTTTT